AGAGCAACAGTGCTTAGGATCTTACAATGCATTTATGATAATATGTTAGGAAAAGAACATGCTTCTCCATTTACATGGACTGGATGCACAGAAAAATGTAAATTACAAAGATACAGATCACTAACAGAAAAGTCAGTGTTTCAAGCCAACAGCAGATATAAAGTAGCGTGGCCCCACTGACTTCAACAAAGATAAACTTGGTGCTATTGATGTGCAGTTGCTTCATGGAAAAAGGATTATGGTTCAAAATGCAATGAAAGAAGGAAGCTGCCAGTCAAAGTCTTGCAAAAAGATGGGCTGCTGCCCTGTTGGCATGGATGGGTGCAACCGCACTGGCTTCAGACAGTCAGCAGAGCACTACATGACTTGGCCTATAGTGTACAAAGAGTTATGAAAAAAGAGTAGTTACACCGTATTTCTACAAATAGCTACTGTTAAAGCTATGCCTGACACTGACTAATAAACCTGTTCCTGAAGCCTCAACTCTTGGGTTCTATGATTTATGCATGCAAGAGGGCGGCTACAGCAGGCAGAGCAAACAGTTTCCACTTGCAGAACTGAGCTCAGGCTTTTTTTCTCTGCACTGCAGGTACCAGGAGATGGCCCTTTCACCAATGGCTTCCTTCCACTTCCCTACTAGCTTAGCCTCTTTCCTTTAATGTGTAGAGGTTTTGCAGATGTTCCAAGGGGGTGGCAGTAGAGAGGGGTTACAGCTGAGAACCTCATAGAGAAAGAATGCAACAATAATAAGACCACATAATCTTTTTTTTTTTTTTTCTTGAGGGAAGGTATAGCCAGGCCCCTCCAGAGAGTGTGCAGCCAGATAGGGCAGCTCTCCTTTACCTAAAGTTGTGTCAATTGAGCTGCAGTGAGCAGCTCAGCCCTGCTGCAGCAGTTAATGCCTTTACTGGCTTTCTTCTGGGACTCTGCTTCAGTTCCCAGGAGCGCTGGACCTGCTGCTGTATGGGCTGAGCCCTAGCCAGCAAATAGCTCTAGTAAACTCTTGCTCTGGTGTGGACGGACCTCCAGCAGTCAAGCACAGCAAACAAGATGCCTAGGAAGTGAGCCAGGCCCAGACAAATGGAGCTCAAAGGTGGGGACCTGTTTTTTTCACCCTCGGCCCCTCCCGATGCAGCGCTCCTAGGAGAGGGGGCCAGGGGAAGGCTGCAGCTCTGCTAAGTGCCCGCGTCCGTGACTCTCACGGCCCCTGTGCACAGCTGCCCCTCAGCCAGAGTCACCACCGCTGCCAGGCTGGCCTCAGGGCTGCCGGGTGTCGCAAGGAGCGGGGGACAGCCGGGGCAGAGGAGTGCAGCCCACCTCGCAGCAACTCCGCAAAGGGAAGAGGGAGCGCCGGATGCCCGAGAGCAGCGGCTGGGGTTTCGGGGGTGGGGGCTTCTCCCCGAGCCCTGACGTAAAAACTAAGCGGGCTGCCCGCTCCGGCTTCTTAAGGAGAGCGGCGGGCGCGGGGGGGCGCC